GGTGGATAGGTGGGTAGATGGATCGATGGATGGGCGGGTGAACAGATGGATGGACAGAGGGAAGACACAAGATCCCTCCACCTTCTCTCTGCTTGGCGAGGAAATTGGCCAGGTAGTAGCTGCCCTAACCAAGACCCTTCTCAAGCCATGTGCAAGTTCTCTGATGTAGCTTTTCGAGTTGGTTCTCCGCTAGAAGCTGCGTTCTGCCTGCTCCTGGAGCTCCGGAAGCCAGCTCACCTTTCCGTGGCGCCCTGCACAGACGTGGCCCGGGCTCGCTGGTTCTCCTCCTCCAAGCGCCTCCTCTCCTCCTCCAGCCGGGCCACATCTTCTGCGGGTCTTTTCTGCTGGATAATGAGCTGCAGCTCTTGAAGCAGGGCCTCCTTCTCCTTGATGAGCTGCAGCCGGTCCTTGTCGGCCTCGGCCATGCCCGGCCATGCCTCATTGTCAAGCAGGGCCAGCTGCTGCTGGATATTGGAGACTCTGTAAGAGATGGACACGGAAAAATCCATGAACTTACAAAATTGTCTTCGTGCGTTCTCAGTACCATCGCGCTGATTCTAGAAACTTACTCTGCTAAGTAAATGCTGGAATTATTGTACCAACTGAACCTTAAATGACAAAAATAAAGAATATGGAAATGATAGGTAAAAAAAAGGATGTGTACGGCCTTTGCATAATCTTCCCTGGTCTATGAGATTCGTGGTGACGGTAACTATATCGTGCTTGTTTCAAAGAGCTGACAAAAAAGGCAGTCCTCCACACGCCATGTGCTATGTGGTTTCGGATTCATGGTTTCCCACGTGGCTCATACTGTCCCGGAGCGAGATGAACCCAGCTCGTTTCTCCCTACCTCCCGCCCCCATCATCACCAGCTAAACACTGCTGGACGCATGAGAGGTGCTTCCAGCTTCCTGCCTCCTCCGCTATGCCTATCTGCTAACACCGCCTTGAGAAAGTACCGGGAGAGAAAGGCGCCCATCACAGTGCTTTGGAATAGAAAAGCCCCAGAGCCAGGTGCTCTGGGTGCTCTCTCCTGCATTGGGGGCCTTGATTGTGTGTGAAATTCAAAACACCGTGCAGAGAGTAGATACTCAACAAAAGCTGAATGCGTGAAATAGTAAACAAACACCCAGCCAGTGTATGAAGGAGTAAGAGTCAGCCCCGGTGAGTGTGGATGTGGCGTGAGAGTACGTGCAAACCAGTCGGCCTCACTGAATGTGTCAGCACCACCATCCTCAAGGTGCAAAAATGCAGACTCTATTGTCAGCTTCCATGTGCCTATACGTTTCCACGTGTTTGCCTGGCAAACAGACTGTACCACTTTGTGTCCTAACGTATTGGTGAATGCGGATTAAGTGAAATAGATGTGGCTCATACTTTCAGAGCATCCTTTCAAAGCAGTAGAATGTTCTAAAATTTAAATATGGCTAAAGATGAGCATTATCTGTTTCCAGGAAGAAACAAGGAACGCCAGAATCGACCTGAACCCAGCGCTATGGAGGACAGGGGTTGGCACACATGCCCAAAAGCGGAATCTAAAGACTTCTCTGAGGTCACAGAGAGTCGTGAGGACAGGTAAGCGGCAGGTGCGCACAGCCCTGTAGGCCTATACGGCAGTGGTTCTCAAGGCGGGGTCCCTAACCAGCAGCTTCGGCATCACCTATGAGCTAGTTACAAATGCAAAACTCAGGCCCCACCCAGACCTGCTGACCGTGACACTTTGGGGACAGGGTTAGGCAATCTGGGTTTTGATAAGCCCTCCAGATGCTTCTGATGCTTGCTTGAGCTTGATACCCTCTGCTTTCAGGCAGCTCGGCCTGCTCTGGGGAATGCTAACTGGTCTCGGAGCTCTCATGGGCTTACAGTAGGCACTGATGTGACGGTCCTCACTAATGGGAGTGGCGGGAGTGCTCCTGACACTACCTGGTCCCGTGCCCAGGATACATGTCGCTCATCCAAGCTGGCATCCTGCCCGCTGGATCCAGACTGCAGAATCCTTCTCAACACTGTGCTCCCTGCAGATACTGCCAATCAACTGGCCCGGGTCCACGCGTTAAAATAAAGCCTGTCAGCCAGCCCTGCACCAAGTCGCACTTCTCCAGGGACCAGTCAGCCCGGCTGCAGGACTGGGCAAGGCTCCTTCTTCAAGTACCAAACCACCAATCAGAAAACCCATAGAGTATGCAAGTTATAGTTTAAATGTACGCATTTTACTCACGTCCAATTCCCCAAGAAGGTAAAGAAAATAGTTGAACGTCAGTAGCTTTATTAGGCGAGTTCTTTTCTAACTTAAAACTAATTTCCTGAAAATGTGTTGGAAAATGGTGCCAAATCATGTCACTGAAAAAACTAATGACAGAGGCAGCTGAACAGGGTTAGGAATCCAACTGGGCTGAAGTGTCCACCTATGTCTAATTAGTGTAATTAAAATTTATGGCAGTCATATAACTGAAGCCCAAGGAAAATACACTCCAAGCAGACCCATAAATAAGTTAGTGCCAAATCATACATTATACTCAATGAAATTTCTGGAACATTCTACCGTAGATCAAGACAAGTCAAAGGTAAGGAATAAATATAAGAGAGACAAACAACAATGAGCAAATCCATTGTGTCCTCAAAATTTCTTATTTCGATTTATCTGCTCCACAGGAAAGCCAATCTGAGCCCGGCTAAAATTAGCAGTCTGACTTTGTAATATACACCAATTCTCATACATACACCACGGGCAGGCCTATTTTGAAAAGCACTCCTTTTAAAAAATAACAATAATAAAAATAAATAAAAAGCGCTCATTTTTAGTCTTCTTTCCTCCTGGGGTCTACCCACGAGGAGATCAAGATTCCATCTGCGTTGGCCAGCTCCAGGTTAGCTGCCATTCTACAAGGATTCAAGTTGCTGAGGGGGCGGAAGGTCTGCTCCTAGGTAATCCTACCCTTTCTCAGAAAATCTAAAGTAACATCCACTATCAGAACAAAGAATGCAAGGAAAAAAAGGAATCATGTGAAGGAGAAGAGGCAAAGGGCAAATTTCAAAAGGTCTGCCCACCGCGGGCATAGAAGGAATAGTACCACGCCAACCTTAAACACTGTACTGTAACTTTCCATGGCTTGCAAGAAAAATATGCAAGGACAACCTCTGTAGCAGAAACAAAATCTGGATGAAGTTGACTTCATGCAACCCATCTGGAAAACTTGTTTGAGCTGTGCTGAATACTAGGCAAGCATTTTAGTGCTTAGAATAGTGTTTTTTTAATAATCAAATTTCACAATGATGCAAATGACTGCATGTTCATTTCAGAGCTACATACAAATCTAGAAGAATATTGGCATGTGTTGCAAAGTGCCATTTCTTGGCCCGTATCCACATTCTGGATACAGACGTTTGGGGCCTGCTCTCAGCCAGATCAAGAGAGGCACATGTGTCTGTCTGCACTGGAAGCCAAAAGCTCTAGAAGGATTCCTTCAAAATGATCTCTTGTACATTCGCCAAAGGATAGACAAGACAGCTTTGCCTCTAACACAACATGCCTTGTCTACCGTACTCCTGGCCTGGAAACGAGCCATCTGCAAGGAGTACCCTTAGTGGGTTAGGCTTACTGGAGAGAGCAGACTTTCTGCCCAAGGCTAAACATGGATGCGGAGAGTTACAATGCCCCTTCCACACCATGCCAAACAGCTGATCGCAGGGTTGGAACCCCACTCCCGCAAGTGCCATCACTCCAATTCTGGGTAATAAAAGAAAGAAATTTTCCAGAAAGGCTTTTTTCCTGAAACATCATTTCAGTGAAAATAAATACATGGAAGCAAAGTGAGGTCATGATTAAAGTTTACAAAAAAGAAACTTTTCCAAGTTCATTTTTAAGGAGAACTGAGAACCACTTAAAACTGGCGAGGGTTTTTCTTTTTTTTTTTTTTTTCCTACAAGTCAACTGTATTCTTTATTGATTCTTATTTTTGATAGGTAATACATTTTATGACCTATATATAATCTCTCACAAATACCTTTGAAAGCTTTAAAATATATGTCCCTATGTTCGGGATAGTAAAGAAACGAAAACAAATCCTTAGTTAAGCATTCAGGTTTCATATTTACTATGTGATTTCCAAATTCTATTCCCTGAACAGGTCTAATGTAGACAAACGTAAAATAGGAATCAGTTTTCCTTTACTATTTTTGCCCAAACACCTTTTCTGTTACAACCCAGGCACCACTCAACCACGAATGGAAACCTGCATTTATGCTGCTGAAACGACTCAGAACCTCGCAATTCACATGGAAATCTTAAATATGATTTGCATTTTTCTTAGAAGAAAATGCACTTTTAATATTACACAGTTTTGAGGCTTATTTGAAATATCCAAAGTAATTCCCAAGTCTTTGAATTTATACCTAAATTCTGCAGTCTACTATAAAATACGGCTGCTTTCTGGAATAGAAATGGCACTCCAGGCAAACCACGGACCCATGTGACGGTGATGAGACGTGACAGATCCCAATGCCACATTCCAGGACGTGGTGTTAGCTTAGAGCCTCGTGCCTTCAAATTTCAATTACAGCCACAGATTTGATACTTCTGACGTCTTCTCTCCTTTGTTTTCTTTTTGTAAATATCCACTTAAATGAGAAGCAAAAGTTCGAGAAAATCTCAGCTGAGATCTAAGTCAGAGGAATGCTGAAACCACTTCAGCTGACTGAACTGAATATCGACAAACCAGCTCAACTCCATTCTACACTGGAAATTCGAGAAGTCTGAATCTAGAATATGTGGCGTTAGAAGGGTCTCACTAATACCCAATATCCCTCCTGCCCTCACATCTTTTTCCCTTCAAATGTATAGATCTTTAGAAGAGTGACTTCTTTAAAAGGAAAGCAGATCATCTATAGGCTTCCTTCTTTTGGCCTGAATGAGAAAGATGGGGCTACAATGGCCAGGGTGCTTTCCCCTGTTTTTCACAGCCGTGTCCTGCCCCCCAAAACCCAGATATATAGTCACTTGAGAAATGAAAAAAAAAAAAAAATCCAAGCGACTGATCAAATTCCACTGGAATCCTAACACTACACTGATTCCTGACAACGGATGAACAGCAGGACCCATCCTGGCAACAAACACTAAGACGCAGAGAAACTGGATGGGCCGAATGTTTTGTTCCTATCTGGACTGTGAGTGTTTCTATGGAAACAGCTACAGTTTGTGCACAGTTCTGGAACAAGTGCTCTTAGGTTAAAAATAAGGAGCCATCTGCGTCATCGGGATTGCTTCAAGAAGACTTGCTCCTCCAAATTGGCTTTGAAAAATTCTAAAATTTTTAACCAATAATGTGAAAATATTCCTATCGTAATGTCTGCCTTGGGAATCCAAAGCGATGGTCCTTAAGGGAAAGGAAGAAGCAGTTGTTTGGGTACATGTCACATGACCCAGAGTTGAAAACACAAAACTAATCATCACGATAGTGGTAGTTCAGTCTAGAGATTTCTCTAGAAATCACACCACCACTTGGAATTACGAGTTCCGCTTCTACTAAATACGAATACATATGAAACCTTCCAAATCGTCATTCTGACAATTTCCCAACACTTAAAAAACTCTCAAATCTAGATACACAAGGAAAGACTTCTCTGAAGTCCAGTTTAGAAGTGGCAGAACCCAGGAGGTTTTGCAGAGGGTAAGGAAGCTAAACTTCAAGGGGTGGGATGATTTCAGATGATATTGAGGCCATCTACATAATCCAGGATCATCTCACCATCTCAAGACTCTTAACTTAGTCCCATCTGCAAAGTTCTGTCACGGGAGGCAACACAGTCACAGGTTCTGGAGATTAGGATGTGGACATCTTGGGGCGCCATTATTCCACTGACTCCAGGCACTATGTCAGGAGGCTGCCTGGCAGGTTTGAGGCCAAGCAAGTTTGAGAAACGAGGGACACAATGTGGCCGGGATAGGGAGAGTGAGGAGGATGGAGGGACTCGGCTAATGCCCCGAGTGAGCGGAACACCCGCTCCACTAGGCCCCCGTTGTCCACGCACAGTAGAGATTAAGGAGCAAGACGTGAGTAAGATTTCTCAATTGTGCCACTATTGACACTCTAGGCCACCTAAGTCTTTGCCGTGGGGACATCCTGCACATCGCGAGTTGTTTGGCAGCATCCCTGGTCTCCGCCCACTCAATGTCAACAGTCACAAGAAACAAAAATGTCCCCTAGGGGGCAAAAATCGTCCCCTTCAATGGTCGAGACCCACTGTGAAGAGAGGAATGATGGGATCAAACATGTTTTGAAAGGCTCGCTTGTCTGAAAAAAAAATTCAGACATGGCAATTTAAATAACCAAAAGTCATACAAAATTATGTTGAACTGCACTGCCGGCGTGAAACTGCACCAGTCTCACCAGGGAAAAGCACACGACAACCGAGAGAACGTCCTTGTCCGTTACTCTAATAAAATTCGCAAAGAATGACGATACTTAATGATGCGAAGGAGAAACAGAAATCAGGACCCTCGATTGCCGTTAGTGGCAGTGTGAAGTGGAGAAGTCATTTTGGAAGGTGATTTGGTGGTAAATGTCGCAGCTTTCAATGTACACGTCTTTAGTCCCAGGCATTTCATTGCTGAGTATCTGTCCAATGAAACAGTCATTTCTGCAAGGCTGGGCCTGTTAATAGATGTGTACTGTTTGTGAAAAGGAAAAACTGGAACCATCTAGATGTGCATCCATAGAGGGATGGTTATAACCATTATGGAAGCTATGCATCGTATACTATGTTTAACTACACTAGGCTTAATTTATTCAAACGTTTACATAAAAGACTGGAAGGTTTTACACCCAACCATTAATGGTGGGAGGTAGGACTGGGGGGGCGTGGGGGAGATAGGTGGACTCTATTGATTGTGCCTTTGACAAAAACAATGTATTCATGTGTTATTTATGTAATAAAAATAAAGAAAATACAAATGATGTATATGCACGTATCTATGTAAACATGCATGTGTTATATGTGTTGATATGTACAAACACCCACATGCACGTGCTCCTGACTCTGGCGTGTGTATGCACTTATGTGTGTGTGTGTGTATGCATGCACGTGCACGCGCATGCACACACACACATACCCCAAGCCCCAGCAGGTACTGCCCTGGGTGCATCCCGCTCCTAGGTAGAACCACTGGTCTCCTCACGTATTTCTGTTAGTTGTGAAGGAGTTTATCTCCCACATTGGTTAAAGATCACATGTGAGCCCAGCCCGTAAACCACACAATTTCTTCCAAACACCTGGAACGAGGCAGGTGTTGAGTAGCAGCACAGTCTCCCAGTCTCCCAGCAGCTTCTCTGTGTGGACGAAGCTACCAGGGTCACCCACACAGACCAGCTGTCCTCCGCAGCCGCGATCCCGAAACACTACTTTCATTTAAAAGATACGGACAAAGTGCAGCGTCCTCCGCTGAATAATTTTTTCAAATACTCAACTTTTTGCCCAAATGTATTATCTCAGCACTTAAAAGATTACTCACTGCGTACCGATACCATCTCCAGAAAACAAAGAAATCGCTTGCTGGGTCTGGTAAATGTCACAGCAAAACACGTAACAATTATCTTCCTAAGTGTAGCAATCATCTAGTTTCTGCGTTTTATACAACACAGCAAATTCCAGCACCCACATTGTACAGTTCCAGTAGAAACATGCAAGACTGAGCAGAGGAATACCCAGAAGGGACAATAGCCCTGACAAACCCCAGTCAGCTCGAGAGAAGGAATGCGTGCTAGATGGAGAATCCGAGCTCGGAGATAAGCGGCGTGGCTGAATGGACTTGGCCGCGGTCCACGTGCAAATGTAAAGCCCACCACGAATACATCGGGAAAAGCCAAGAAGGGCTGGGTAGAAATGCCTGGGCAAACAAAGGCCCATGTCAGTTCAAACCGGCCCTCCAGGAGGGAGTCAGATGATCTGCTTTTGTTGCTATTTTTACATTTTCTAAAAAGCCAACAAAGTGGATTTCCAGACATCCATGAATGATACAGTATACTGAGCAGGCCTAACTGTTGAGCTTCCAGAAAAGACCCCCTCACTTCGCTTGGCATTCAGCTCCTTCTCCCCCGCCCCTCCCCAAGGTAATAGTTCCTATGTGACTAAGGAAACATTAAAAAGATACGCCTCACAGCTTTCCAAAGCACATATTTGGAAGTCGTTAGGTTTTAAGACTCTTTCCAGAGGCAAAGAAGAGAGAAAGTCTCTAAAAAAAAAAGGACATGAAAACTAGGGCAGGGTCAGAATATTGAAAACAGGGGCTCTGGATACACGGGGAGAGACGTGACACATTAAAAATGCCACGCGCTTATGAGGACTCCACGCCACCTCTTGGTTTTGCCCAAGTTCTATGGTTAAGACCGAGACGGTGGGAGGGAAGGTAGGAGGGAAAGACAAATTGGAAAATGCACAGACTAAGTCAAATCTCGATTTTCAGGAGGCAGATGATTTACAATATAGGTTAACAGAAATGGCTGCCTTTCAATTCCCTCCATCAAAATGAACTAGATTAGGGACTGCTATGACCTGCTGACCTAATCCTTATTAAACTGTCTTTTAAACCAAGATACGTGGCTTTGTCCATTAACCTATGGAGTTAGAAGCCACATATATAAAAAATAAAGCAGTTTTGCTTAAGCTGGTCTGAGGGGATGATGCTCAGACGAAAGGGAGGGGGGGAGGATGAGAGGAGGAAGGAGAAGGAGGAATGGAGGGAGGGAGTTCTGAACTACCTGAGGATAAGGAAAGATGGAAGTCTCTATTTTTATTAAATCGTGTCTTTATAACTATCTGCAATATTGAGAATTCTACCATTTTAAATGCATATGAATTTTTATCAATGTATTAAGAAGCTACACGTAAATGAAGATCTTTTAGCTTGTATTCTATCAGACAGAGCTTTCTGATAAAAGCGGGCAATCACACATTGGAACCCCGAAAAACCTCTTCCCACAGGAGACAGGAAGTAAGCAAAAGGCAAGATTCGAAAAAGGAGCTTCTTACCTCTTTTTGGCTTCTTCATACTGCCAATTAAGCCTGACTCGGTCTACAAGTCTTGTTTTATCGTCAAAGACAAACTTTCCAAAACAGAGGAGAAAAAAGAAGGAAAACATATTAAAAACATATTTTCAAAATAGAATATTCATTTAAACTTTCAGCGACAACGAAGAATATTTTAATTTATCTTTCCGCTTCCATTCCTCAAATGTCTAGAAGGAAATACTAAATAATATTCGGTGGCCACTTCTGATCAGTGGGGTTGGGAGTAGGACTGGGAAGACCTCTGCTTTCCCAACACTGATGGATTAAAAACAAAACAAAACGAAACAGTGAAAGTGTATTCGTTTACTGTGTAATTCCAAACAACAACAACAAATTAAGTTTTCAAATAAATAGTGAATTACTTAGTCAAAGTTGGTACAGAGGCCAAAAAAAAAAAAAAATCATCCAATTTTGTGCAGTATATTCTCTCATTCTTCAATAAATGCAAAGTAATGATGATCTCCTAAGAAGTCACGAGATCTGAAGACAACAGACTAGCTGTGTGAGGTGTGGCCTGTAGGACTCCTTTGAATGATACACAGCCTGTTAAAGAACCGAAGGAAAAGGAAAGAAAGGCCGGGATTGTGGTGCATCCACCTTAGGAGTTAGAGCTGAAACGTGGTGCTCTGCAGTAATCACTAGTTGTACTTAAAATATTTTCACATCAATTACACTGAAATCAACAAAGTCCTAAGGAAAAGGGGAAAAAGGACCCATACGGGAGGTAACCGTAGCTCACCTTGGTTACTTTTTCCTTCATTTCTGGAAATATATGACTCCAGTTTCAAACAATTTTCTCCATCTGTAGATCTGACCCTACTAGACCATATATTATGGCCACTACACCTTTATTTATTTTTCAAAAATAATGTCATGTGAACAAATATTTGAAAATACTCTGCCTGAATGATTAGTGATGAATTTATTGGTCCACGTCATATAAGTGGATCCGCGGTTCAAACCTATGTTGTTCAAGGGTCAACTGTATTTTTCTATAGCAAAATGATCTATCTTCTATAGAGAGCACAGGGGTTTAGGAATCAGAGATGTTGGTTCAAACTCAGACCTGCCTCTCCCTGACCACGTGAACTTAGGTAACCTGGCACCCCGATCCCTTCATCTGTCTCAAGGGCACAGAAACTACTTAAATCAAGATAACAGCCTTGAGGCTGCCAACCCAGGCCAGCCCCAGTAAACTCATAAAAAATGATAATTTACTGCCGGAGTTATTACGACAGCATAACCGGCCACTCTCCCCCCGACATTTTTAGAATATCTTACCTAAATCATTAGAGAACCTTTGATCTAACTGGTTTCTCTCAAACCGGTTAAGAATCTCTCAATTATAATTCTTTCCTTCCTGCCAAAACCTTTAGGCAAAACTGCTGGACATTTCTGATTTAGCGATTCCTCTCTGTGTATTATATAGATGGTGACCATGTTCTTTAAACTAAAGATGCCTGATCAAAAATGTCTGATTGTACTTTTGAGAACAATGAGGGGAAAACTGAAAATAGGGCTGTTCCAGGACATCTAAGACATAGGAAGTCATTATTTACTAATATTATGCTCCCCTCAAAGAGGCACTATTTGCCAAATTTTCAAAATATTAGCTAATTACTTAAAATCCAGAGTTTTTTTGGTCAATGTTTTTTCCCTTTTTTCTTTTATTTAATTTTGGGGAGGGCACTCTGCATTCCATTGATATTTCACCTTTACTTAATAAGCCCAAAGAAAAAGCCATCCAAGCTGTTTATCCATCTGTAACAAATAAATTATAAGCTTCACTCAACGATATTACAATAGTAGTGTCTTTAAGTATTTACCACTCTGCTTCAAATGGTAATTGCCTACTTTATCTGTGTGGCTAACTCAAGGTCTCGCTAGACATCAAAAGCAGCATTATGAAATTCTTCCAAGTCCCAAACAAAATTAATTTTAATTCGATTTCCTGACAGTCTTTTAGAAGAACAAAAAATAGCACCAATGTATACCCAAGGGTGACAAAGCCACGAAGCCTTTGAAAATCACTGGTCTAAGTCAGAGATCAGCAAACTAAGGCCCGCAGGCCAAATCCAGCCCGGCACCTGTTTTTGTAAATAAAGTTTTATTGGAAAACAGTCCTGCTCATTAGTTTACATGTCGCCTATGGCTGCTTTTGCGTTATACCACCACGGCTGGGTAGTTGTGGCAAAGACTGCATGGCCTGCAAGACCTGAAATATTTACTATCTGAACCTTTACAGAAAAAGGTGGCCCATGCGCTAAAAAGTCAGACGTCTATCAAAAAAAAAAAAAAAATCTTAACTCTCAAAAGGATTCTGCTCTTTTGAAGAATCCAAATCACAAGGTTAAAGGTAACAAGTAATTCAACTGCACCCCAGGCTGCATGCAGAATCTTCTCAGCTGGATGTGAGAAACTATTTTTTCTTCAAACGTAATGGCACAAAAGCCAAAACATTTCTGAAGAGAAAGTGGAAAAGTAAAGCAAATGACTGATGGCAACACGAACGAACACGGCCCTTTCCTCAAGGCCCTTCCCCACAGCGAGCATACCTCTCCGATGATGTCGGTCTGAGACCCAGCGTCGCAGCACTGCTGAGGTGAAGAATTGCCATGCGCGCCTGCATTGTGAGGGAACTCTTGCAGGGGTTCGGTAAGAGAAAAGCTGTTCTTGAAGCCGTCGGTGAGCTTGGCCAGGCTCTGGAACAGAATGAATGAGCTACTTGAACAGAGACGGTGCTGCCTCTCCCTCTCAAAGCGGTCATTTCACTAGGGTTCCAGGTTGACTGCTGTAGCACTGGAGGGTTGGCCCACACCAACCCTCACTCTCATTAGATTTAAAAGAAAGGTCTTATAAATAAACAGCTGGACAGATAGATGATAGATAGATAGATAGATAGATAGATAGATAGATAGATAGATAGTCTTTCACCACAGGAACCTTTAATAAAATTCTCAGTAATTAAGTCAGATAGCAATTGAGTCCTCCTGGCAGCATGTGAGTAAAATAGAGAACACCTGTGGTAGCATTTTTAGTGTTTTTTCAAACATGTATGTTTCCTAAAAAGAAAAAAAAAAAAAAAAACAGAAAAAGGCATTCTTTCCAAAAAAAGCCAAACTCATAGAAACCAAGAGTAGACTGGTGGTTGCCAGTCTGGGGGGCAGGGAAAATGGAGAGATGTTGGTCAAAGGGTACACACTATCAGTATAAGATGAATAAGGTCTGGGGATGTAATGTACAGTGTGGTGACTGTAACTGGCAATACTGTACTACATATTTGAAAGTTGCTAAGACAGCAGATCTTAAAAAGTCCTCACCATACGCACGCAAAAAGGTAACTATGTGAGGTGATGGATGGGTTAACTAACTTTATTGTGGTAATCATTTCACCATATATATCAAATCATCACATGGTATACCTTAAATTTACAATAAAGCAGGGGCAGGGAGCATTCACATCTCAAATGTTCTATCAATAAATGAGTCCAACAGAGATGAATGCTAACTTGAGATCTTTATAAACCACACAGAAGGTGAAAATAGCTCCCAGACGATGTTTATGTATTTTTATAACCTGATTTTTCAATCATAATTCTACATGGTCAAAAGTCATCTCATATAGATGTTAGTTTGCCAAAAATTAGAGTAAGTATGTATTCTGGCACATAGATCCCCTGTGGGTGAAAGTTAAAGAGAGATCAGATTTTCTACAATTTTTTAAAGAAAAGACTGTTTCTGCAGACACCAGAACGCCCAGGTACAATATAACTCATGTAGCTGACTCTGGATCTAGACGAAGGCGTCCCGAATGGCCCAGTATTGGTAAGCTTGTATAAGAAAGACCAAACAGCTTGGCTGATTTCAGTACAAGAGGACCTTGCCCGTGCCTCTACCTGAAGCTTCTCAGAGAAGTTGCTGAGCCTCCATAGTGGGGAAGCCAACCGAGCTTGCCCCAGCTCTGCAAACTCGGAAGGACAGGAGGGCCAGCTCGGCCTCCTGGGGCAAGGCCTCTGTGTCCCTGTGGGGAAGCAGGGGTTATGGCTTGGCCTAGATGGGTAACGTCCACAGAGCACCTCATGCAATGCCGCAAGCAGACATCCCAGTGAATGGCAACTGTTCTCCTTGCTACCAGTGCTCAGAGAAAATCTAATGATAGATTATTTACCTCTTATGACCTGGAGAGGGCGTCTGAAAATATAGATTTCTGGGTCCTACCTCCAGAGATTCTAATCCAGTAGGTCTGAGGTAAGGCCCGGTAATCTGCAATTGAACGAGCAGCACAGGGACACTCCACAAGTCTCGCCCATCCTTGACCTTAGGAAGCAATGCCCTGCAAGGCAGTTCCATGTGCACCTGTCCCACCTGGCCTGTGAGTCTCATCTTTGCTACCCATGTCCTTCTGTGCCTTACATTCTGCAGAATCGAGACAAATGCCTACCAGGTACTAGGTGCTCACTCAGTGTGTTAGCAAAATATAAAAACTGTAACGGGAACAACTGAATGTATCGCGGTAGTGAGCACAGATACCAGCGTACATCCATCTGCAAAAAGTCAGCTTTTTCTAAAAATAATAGAAACTACAGGAGCTGAAGGGGCAAAAAACTAAAGTAATATATAGCCACGATGATCCTAGCCATGTAATTAAATCTATCCACATGGTAGAATATTATGCGGCCATATGAAGGAATGAAGAAGCTCTTTGTGTACAGATATGGAAGAAGGTACAGGGTACGATCGTTGAGTGAGGGAGCCGGTGCAGAACAGCAGGCACAGTCCTAGCTCCCTGTGAGGGCAGCTGAGCATGTGCTCGGGCACGTGTCTGCAGAAACACTGGAAGGGTCCGCAAGAAGCTCATAGAAGTACTGACGGGTGGTGAGAGAATGGGGAGATGGCAAGACTTATCGTAGACTTTTTAAATTATTTTGAGGACTGAACAATATGACTGTATCACCTACTGTTTGGCTTGTATTGTATTCTGCAAAAAGAGGCGTTGAATTCCTAACCCCGAGAACACGTGAATTTGAGCTTATTTGGAAATCGTCTTTGCAGACGGACTGAAGTTAACACGAGCTCATACTGGATTAGGGTGGATTCTAATCCAATGATATGTGTCCTTCTAAGAGAAAATTTAGACACAAAGATGCAGGGAGAACACCACGTGACAACCAAGGCAGAGACTAGAGTGACGTGGCTACAAGCCAAGGAACACTAAGGACTGCCCGCAGCCTCCGGAAGCTGCTTCAGAGAGAACATGGCCTGAGGACAGCAGCCTCTTACTTGCATCAGGTCCCGCCTCTCCTTCTCGCCTGTGCAAATGGCCTTCTTGATGGTCCGAAGCTCGTTCATTATAGCCTGTGCCTCATCCAGTTTGTAGCTGGTGTGCGCATTTGACATCTTACGATCGATCCTGGTTAAAAGATAAAATAAGAGTCACTCCGTGCGAGATTAAAAAATCCCATTAAACGACCAAACGAAAAAAACTCAAAAGCTGCATAGAAACGTAGGAAACAGTTAAAAACAATGTTTTGGTGAAGGAAAGTAACGATGCACACAACCTTCCTTGTGGCAAACACTAAGAGACGAGACTCGGCTGCTAGACGACTTCCTTTGCTCCTGGACCGGCCTATGCAGGTGAGGAGCTCTGAGTCAGGATTCCACGTCCTCTACTAACGACTGCGTGACGGGATCACTGGTTTGAGTGACAGCCTGGGATTGAAACTCCCCTCTTAGAGAGGAGCGCCATGTCTTATTCGTTTATCCGTAGCATCTGGATTAGTGGTCAAAAATGTCCATGAAATAAAATACGCGTGAGTTCTGTGTGCAAGGAGAACATATGGGAAACGGCAAAAAGTAGTGAACTCAGTAATGATGCCTTGGACAAACTTGGAAACTCTTATGCCTCCTCTGTGTGTGCCTTTCTTTGATCTCTTCTGGTTCTAATTGATCTCTCTCTCTCTCTCTCTCCCTCTCTCTCTGTCTCTCTCTCTCTCTCTCTCATTCACCTCCTTAATTCTTTCCTTCAACCCAAACGTCTCTTCACCCCTCCTTACACCCCTCCCTCCCTCCTCGCAGACCACGCCCACACGCCCGCCCCTGTGCACACAAGGCCTGCTTCCTGCAAGTAGAAGCAGAGCACTGACTGAGATGACACGTGGCTCTGGCCTTCCAAGAGCACGCGCTGTCCTGTAGCGCACACGTCATTTGTCACATCTTCCATACCTAAGTCTTGAGGCTCGGGGCTAAAGATGTTGGGATACTTTGGTCCAGAAATGGAACGGACTCCCCTGCAAAGTCATTAACTTTCGTTTCAGGTTCCAGCTACACTTTATGCAGCTTCTGGTTCTAAATTGCTGCCCGCATGTTCACTGAAAATCTGGATGGATCCTTAACAACCAGCCCAAGTGCCCTGACTTTCCACTCACAAAAGCATCCTGGCCTGCTGGTGAGTATGAGTGATACTCCAGCTCTACAATGGGACCCTGAGCAAGTCACGTCACCTCTTTAAACCTCAGTTTGCTGATGTGTCGCATAGGTTTACAAAAAAGTTTCTCTTATGGAATGAGAAAACGTAAGGAAAGGTCTTACCTGACAGAGGCCTGGCATGTCATGTTGGTGGTGATTATTATTATTATCAAGATGATACTGAATCTCCTTATCCATGGCAGAAAAAGTAAATAATTTACCAACTCTGGTACTTTATTATCATTAACAAATTCCTGGCCACATATGTCACAACTCACAGCAAAAGTCAGCACGGGAGCTGATCTGAGCTGTCAGCACCCTTGGAATGAGAGAAGGACAAATAGAACAAGCAGGAAACCATTCCCTCCCTTTGGAATAGGCTCCGGGGCTCGGCAGCAGCGCTGTCACTGCCATCAGCTACAAATCAAATATTTACGGAAACTGGTCCCCAGTCTGCTCTTCCGTGTAAAGCAGATGCAGGCGCACCATGGGACCCCACACGTTAATGGTGACACCCCTAAACCCCAACGTGGCCTGGCCATGTGTTTTTCCATTTTAGCTATTCTATGGAGAACCAAGGCAGAAATAAAAGGCCATCCATCTCACGGCAGCGCTAAGTCTGCCAAGGAAGTGGCCTGACTTTTCTTGCAGAGAAATCTAGACTCGTTTACATACTAATGTCTTCTTGTAGTCACCTTCTGATAAAAGGCTTCCCAATACATCTCATTTAATGCCCCCAAACCACAACCCACATAGGTTGATGAAGTCTGTAGAAAAGGGCTACATCATTTCCAGACAAAAATCCTGAGGCCAGAAAAGTCTGATTTTTCTGTAACAGTCAATGAGCACCATCTCTGCTGAGCAGGTCTACTGGCTCCTCCAGAATGAAAAATACGGGCAATGGATCATCACCTGACACTGACACCCACATAGAGAAACGAAACTCTACTGCATTAAAGAAAATCGTTTCAATTGTTTGAGAATCAATACTGGTCAAATAGCCATAGAGGTCTAGACACATAATCATTGTTCAGGATGCAATGAGGGACGCTAACCATGTCAGCTCCAGCTCCGTACTTAAGTGTTGTGGTTTCTTTATGGGTTTTAGCAGCTACAATGCCTAAGTGTGGCCACCAGGAGACCCGGGGATGGAGCCAGCATTCTCTCAAGGCACCTTGCCTAACACTGGTAACGGCTGCCACATGGGGAAAAACAGGCACCAATTCCCACCATAGAGAGGGATCGGCAGCCCTGTAATTCATTCCATAGGTGGGCACTGCAGAAGGCCTAGAAGTTCAACTTCAAGGTCACAGACCTGGGCTCTGGCCTTAGTTCTATACAAGTGGCTCTGAGACCCTGAAGAAGAATGAAGACTGGCCTAGAGCAACTGCTTTCACTGTGTTCCAAGGATGTCTCAGTGTGGTGAGCAGGAGTAGCTAAAGAGAGAGCCTGCATGTGGCTGGGGAACCCTCACTCCTGCTTCGGCAAGCACCAAACCCCCACCTTTGCTCTGTCTCAGCTTGTCTGGGTCCACAGAAGATATTGTTTGTGGAAAAGAAAAGGAGGAAAGATTCCACTGTTCAAAAAAGTCTGAAAGCTATTAGAGAACGTGATCTCAAAGTTCTAGGAATTTCTGAAATACTATCATTTAAAAAAGTTATATATCATTGTAGAACATACAATTGTACAAAAAGGGTTATATATTATATAAGTATAAGATTATATAACCACACTTATGTAGTATATATTATTTGATTATATTACATGTTATATAAATAGCATGTTAAAACAACTCAATGTATCAAGCACCCACTAGGTGACAGGGTCTTGCTGCGTACTTTACGTTTGTCCCCTCATTTAAGCCTCTCAACAGCATTATTAGATAGCAAAATCTCAGATTTTATAATGAAAATATTGAGGCTCAGAGAGATTAACTAAGTGGCTCAAGATAACAAGCTAATATCTGGCAGAGCCAGGATTCAAACCCACATCTCCCAATTCTCAAGTCTGCACAGGATCACTGGTACGGAAATGCCCCTTGTATCCACAGGTGTACCCCGACTCAGAGCGGCCAAGGTAGGGTCCACAGGCTTTTATATGGGCAAGAAATGCCTCACAGAATCCAAATAACTTCCGTTTTTCAAATGTGATAGATTTTCATCTAATGAAAACTTCAAAAGACAAGAAACCTCTTCCTTCACGTCTGCAAAATTCATTTGGGTGTTTTCTCCCTTTCTTCAAATGCCCTCTAGAACTCTGGTCACATTCAGAGGATGTGCTCAATTAGCTGGTTGGTATTTTCTAAAATATCAACATATTCCATTTATAAGGAAAATCATAGCGTCTGGGATTGCCAAAGAACTGTCTTTTTCTTTTTTAAATTTTAATTAAGACCCCAAGATACTGCTTATACATCTCAAATAAAATGATAGAAAATTGATAACTGCTCAACAAAAGATGGTGCTAATAATGACCTAAGCTCTTACGCCATGAAGGATCAGTGCCTTTACAAGAGACTCCAAAGAGCTCCCCCGCCCCTTCTATCATGTGAGGACATAATGAGAAGGTGACCATTTATGAATCGGGAAACTGGCTCTCACCTGACATAGAACCTGACCATGAGGGCCCCCTGATCTTGGACTCCCAGCCTCCAGAACTGTGAGAAATAAACGTGTTGTTTATAAGCGACCCAGTCTGTGGTATTTTGTTACGGCAGCCCAAACAGACTGACAACACGGTGTAAAAAGAGTCCAGTGCACAGAACCCACAGTCTTTACTTTTCAACCCTCGACGTTTCTCAGCAGCTCTGGTGAAGTTAAATGACTTGCTCAAGGTCACGCAGCCAATAAGAGGCCCCATCGCACCAGCACTCAACCCCTTCATCACCGGGTTAACGATACACTCAAAGTCAAGGCCTCCAAACTCACACTGTGTCAAACCTGAAGGCCACCCACGCAGAAAGTCAAATCTTGTCCCAAAGTAAACTGGGGCTTTTTATGGTCTGCTTATGAAAGAAATGGTTAGAGAGAAAAGGAGAAGGCGCGGCTTCAAATGGTGACTACAGTACCGTTGAGAAGGCATTTTTGACATGTTTATCATCAAACCTCTTCTTCCCGCTGCCTGAAGTTTCCATATTTTTTGTTCAATTTAAGATGTCAAGAGAATTGCACCGGCAAAAGTAAAACCAAATGACTTCTTAAACCCACATCTTGAAGAAAAGGGTTGCCAGGCCTCTAAAGGTATTCCATGTTAATACCATGCATTACAACCCAAAAGAATGAGAAGTTTTGTTACAACTCTACCTTTTACATCACCAGCTCTGGCAGGGGGCCTTGAACGAACCTCAGAAAGCTTCCGGCAGTTTTCTATCAACAGCAGGTCCTGTGTGGAACGCCAGACCTGTCCCACAACCGGGAACAATGCTCTTTTTGTTTCCGCCCCCATTTCTGTATGTTTTACTGTTATCTGAGCAGTGCTGGGCTTTTCGCACGGGCTGGACCTTATGTGCTATGTTAATGGGACATTGTTGGTCTAAGCCTGTTCTAACTGTGAACAATCTTATTCTCTTCTGAAAGCACTAAATCCCCTCGGACAGAAAACACTCATTTCAATATTGAATACTGCCTCGTTCTGGTACTGAATGCTCAGGAGAGAGTAGTCACTCTTATTTAAGGAGACACGTGGGTTTATCTTCACTCATACCACTCCATCAGGGAAGAAGCTCATCCGGCAACTAAAAGGTTTGAAGCAAAGAGGCCACCTGACTAAGAATGTACCTCGTGGAAACTGGTTATTGGAACGTTTACTGAACATCCGTTTCTGCGACTTGAATAGCAGTAGTAAGAATAGGATTTCTTAAAGTACAATATAATAATATGTAGAAGGAAATGCTAGAGGGACGTTAGTAAGAAAGTGACCGGCCGGTTCACAGAGGCCTCCCTGAGA